CGGTCCGACTGGGTGTCCAGCCCGACTGGGTGTCCAGTCCGACTGGGTACCCAGTCCGACTGGGACCCAGTTACTGGCACTGGTGCAGCCCTAGTCGAAATGATTCATGAAATGCAAGAAGAGTATGACAGATGCTACGAAGTCGTTGTGCATTGAAAGTAATTATTGATTTGCCTACTTGTAATCGTGAAGCTAATTCACTAGCATCTTGTTCAGATAAACTGAATCCATCTGAATAATTGTACTTATTCATCAGCATCAGTGCATCAAAAGTATAGGCTCCATATTGACGTCGATTAATTTGATGAGGTGCAAGACGATTAACTAAAAGACAATGAAATGAAATAATTTATAATCAATTTATATCGAACATACGAACCTGGTACATTAGCCAAAAGTAAACACTCATTTGGACCAACATATTCTGTTGGAAATATAGGTAAATAAGCATATCGTCCATCATTTTTATCTAATAATGTGGGTGTGGATGTGGTTATGGGTGTGGGTGTGTGAGTGTGAGTAAACAGAGAAATGGCACCCACCCACACCCACACACCCACACCACCCACCCAGATTTTTTTTTATCAAACGACTTTAGTAAAGTTAAATATTTTTGTAAAAACAGTAGCTTATTTATTTTTTCAGTACCGAGACTACTACGTTTATCTGTAATTGTATTTTTCGACGACGAGAAAAGTCTTTCTATACTCGTATTCGATGCTGGTACAGAATAAAAATCTTGAACCATAGAAAATAAGACTGGAAATTTCGATTTTTGTTGTAACCAAAATTGTAAAATATCATCTTGCTCAGTCAATTGAACATTTAATGCTATATATTCTTTTAATTCATCATACGATGCTGATACCGATTTCAAGTCATTGTTTGGTATATCGAAACAGTATGAAAGAAGACCTTTTGATGCTGTTGATTTCGAATCAAGTGTATTTGTACGAGCAGACTTTGTCGTAGTTGGTGTAAATGTGTTGGATGGTGTAGTTGGCTGTCTCTTCAAAATGTCTTGTTGCACCAATTCGATAACTTTTTCTTGTAAGTCAGGATTAACATGAAAATTTTTCATAGATGGATGCAGAAAGGTAGTTATATAATGCACATCTTGTAATATCCAAATATCTCGAATACGTTTCTCTAAATACAAAAATAATTTTTTCAAAGCTGGACTCTATTGTCGCATAAGCAGGTCAGATTTTTTAAATACTCTTGTATATCTTGATGAAATATGATAGGTTTTTAGTGAACATTATGAATTTTCTCTTTCCTGTCTGATATTAGAACAATCTTGTATGGTTTTTACTTCTCCTCTTCCCTAAAATATTTTACAGCATAAAACAGAGAAAATGAATGCTGGAATATTAGAAATTATAAGTAAATACCAAGAAATCTTTTTATTTGCTGTATTCCATCATGATCATCAGGATGAATTTTACAATGATTTAATTAATATTGTCTTAATGGTAATACTTTATAAACTGTTGGTTTTGTATCACAACTAAACTGTTCGATTGCTTGTTCGAATGGTTTTAAAAATAAACACACAGATGCAAGTAAACCCTTATCAATCAAAATATAATCGTTCATATAAGTTCGTTCTAATACACTAGCTAATTCATCAAATACAATTAAAAAAACATCCATAGTATATAAAGCACTATTAAATCGACTATCAGAGTATGATTGAAGTTTTCGAGATAATTTGGACTGTTTGTGCGATCGTCGCATGTGAGATACAATTTGTCGAATACTATTGAACATTCGTTGGACAATATCACAATCAACAGGCATCTTATCTATTATATCAGTAGTAAAACAATGTTGTAGTTGTTTATTCAGATAATGTATGGAACAACCAACTCTTGTACATAAATCTTTGAAGCTAGATTTCATCTTGTTTTCATTGTCACAAACTACAAATTTACTATCATCTAATGTCAAATGATATTCCATTAATTTAGAATCAACGAATTGTTGAATTTGATTTGAAGATTGATTGTCTCGATCATAAAAATAACACCCCAATATAAAAACATATAATTGTAAGTTGTCATTCAAATGGAAAAGTCCAATGCCACAAAAACCAACACCTAAAAAGGAAGAGGTATTAATATTAATATCAAACTCAGAAATGAGTTTGAAATAAACTCATAACGTTTATGCAAATTTCTATCAAAAAGAATATATCTACCATTATATGGATCGGACCAAAAGTCTACCACGATTACGTAAGATTTCATATTCTTGCATATATCAATCAGCTGAGCTTTTCTACTAATGTACAGCTTGTTAACATTTCGACTTATCTATCAGTAAATAAAAATACATAAGTTAGTTCCAATTAGAAAAAAGAAATTTCTGCTACTTTCTTCTGATTCTTGAATCTTTTACTTACAGTTGTTGGATGCGGAAGTAAATCCACAATATTAAGATTTTGTTTATTAGATAAATTTTGTCCAACATCAAGTACAGTTTGTGCAAAATTGATGAATCCATCTCCAGAAATGAGTTCAAATGCACGGTTATTCAAAGAAACTAATTCAACAGCTGCATTTGTAATTTTTTGTTTTATTGTTCGTGGTATGGATGAAGATATTTTAGGACGAAAATATGTTTTAATGGTAAAATATTCAGTTTGATTATTTTTGTTAGATGTTTGGCACGATTTCTGGTGCTTTATCATAGAACTTGTATCATCCATTGATGTGTGATGCAAGATTTCTTTACATTCGTCGCAAGATACAAAATCTTGTTTTTTGTTAGAGACGTATATATAACTAAAGTTTTTCCAAACACATGATGATGCTGTTTTCGGTTTTACGAATGCTATACTTTTATCATCAGTTTTGATTAACTGTATAATCATTTCTTTGGTTATTGAGGAATAACTCATGTTATCATTAGATTTAAGTTTTTCTTAATCAAATAATATGAGTATACAAAAAGTATGAAAAATAATCCCTAAAAGTAAAACATGTTTGTTCACTCGTGCTACATATATATGTATAAATGAAAATATTTACTTATTTTTCTCGTAATAAGATCACAATTCAATATTTTAAATGGATAAAAGATTTCTTTGCAAGAAAATCATAGAAGAGTGTCAAGTTATATATTATGTGCCGATATTAAAATATCACCTATCATTGACCTCACGTTCACTCGTCTATGTCATTGTCTTCATTGTTCTTTTTGTTCATTTTTCTCTCACTGTTTTCTTTGTTCATCTCGCTCTCATTGTTTCCTTTCTTCCTTTGTTTGTTCTCTCTTCCATAGAAACGTATGTCAAATGTGAACTAAGGTTAGAAAATCGATAGATGAACAAAGGAAACAATGAGGGAGATAAAAGAAGCAACGCAAAACATAGGCAGCGATAGATAATATGAATATAAGTAAAGATGACTCTAAGATTCCCTGCAAAACAACGTCAACAACTTTTTACTCATGTTTGACTTCTGTTTTAAATATGAGCATGAGAAATGCACAAAATGCATCACTACACAGGTCATAATCTGTGTCAACATATTATTATGTTGCATTTGAATAATTCCTTAGCTATCATTAAAAAAATGTTCGGTTCCAACGGTTCCGGTTCCGGTTCCGGTTCCATTCCTATTTTTTCACGGTTCCGATTCCGGTTCCGGGTAACAGAAATTGAAAAAACTGGTTCCTGATTCGGTTCTCGGTTCCATTTTTTTTGGAACCGCAGGGCTCTAACCCACATCCACACCCCACACCCACCCACACCCACACACCCACACACCCACACACCCACACCCACACTCACGCTCACACTCACACCACAGTCACAGCTACACCTACAACAGCCGCACACCCACACCCAATGGTTTCAAACTTTTGATTGAAAATATGATCGAACCATTAAAATAAAGAAAAATTGCTTGAGACAATTTTCAATGGAATTTCGTGTTGTTGATGATGAATTTTCTGAAATTTTTCAATTCATAAAAATATACTTACAGTTAGATAGACATTACATATAATTAGTAATAAAATATTCCAAATCTATGGATGTGCTTTTCTAACCTTATCTCAAATAGAATAGCAGAATAAAGTTAAGCAATATAATCTAATAAATAAATCATTAAGATAAACAAAAGAGAAATATAAATATTAGTTTATAATGATATTCTATATATTCATTCATAGTAATAGAAATCATTGATCTTTTAAGGTGTAGATGAAGTTGAAGTGCAGACGCACTTCCATAGCTTACAACTCCTACCGAAACTCACACCCTCCGTAAGGTATCAATCACGTTAGAGCCATTAAAAGTCACCATCTATATTTGATTGAAGATTAAGGCTCCCCCCCTCAAAAGTTGGTCTCAGCTCAGGAACATCGAGATACCATAAAATTTTGAGGATATGTTGGGGGTGTTAAAGTACGTCTGTGGTGAAATTTTCAGCCTCCTATCCCGATGTATAAGGTAGGTACGAACCAAACTAGGGTCGAAAAATAGCTTATCGTAGCCCCCAAAAATCTCTATGGATGTTCATTCAATATGGTTCATTGTTTTTTCATTTGAAAGAGCATGTCAGGATGCAGTGTCAATGAGGGCCATTTTTTTTTATTTTTATCTTTAATAAGAAAAAAAGGCTTCACAAGTTCAATCACTCAAAAACCTCTCAAAAAAATGGCGCTCGTATAATAAACTTACTTATCAATATAATAATAGCAAAGCTTTATCAAAAAAAGGGCCCTCATAGGCACTGCAGTTTTTGATGCTCTTTCAAACAAAAAAAAATATTTGACTTTATATCGGATTATAATTGATTTTTCGAGGGGCTACGTCAAGGGGGAAACAGCGGACTTCAAGACTTCAAGACTTCAAAAGACTTCAAAAGACTTCAACAGACTTCAACCGCAGTGACTTCATATTTTCACAAGACTTCAAAAGAGTTCTAAAGAGTTCTGAAGACTTCATAGGACTCCAAATGACTTCACAAGACTTTATAAGACTTCGTATGACTTCATGAGACTTCATGAGACTTCATGGGACTTCAAAAGACTTCAAAAGACTTCACAGACTTCGTGAGACTTCACGGACTTCATGAGACTTCACGGATTTCATGAGACTTCAGAGACTTTGTAGGACTTCTTGAGACTTTATAAGACTTCATAAGACTTCACAAGACTTCATAAAACTTCACAAGACTTCAAGAGACTTCACAAGACTTCAAGAGACTTCAAGAGACTTCATGAGACTTCATGAGACTTCATGAGACTTCATTAGAATTCAGGAGACTTCAAGAGACTTCAAGAGACTTCATGAGGCTTTATGAGACTTCATTAGACTTCATGAGACTTCATTAGACTTCATGAGACTTCACAAGACTTCACAAGACTTCACAAGACTTCACAGGACTTCAAGAGGCAGATTCCATGCGTATCAAAAAACCTTATAGAAATTACATGAAACTTCTATAACATGCAAAAAACAAAACTTATCATATAGAGATTACAAAAGTGTTTCTTGTTTCTGAGAATTGTTTCTCGCAGTATATCCATATCTAGAATAAAGATGTGACAATGACACAAAGCGTTGATGAAATTAAAACAGAGAAAATAAACTTTACTGGTATGCGTATGTTTGATTCGATTAATCCAGCACTGGAAAACTCCTATTTTCAGGTGCAAATAAATAACAAGACTAAATTTATACACAAGCAAACGACTTGTTGGTTATTGACCGACGAAGCTAGCCGTTTATCGGCTGATAGATTATCACGAGTGATAGAAATAAACAAAAAGGAATAAAATTCTTCATAAGATTGACATCGAATAAATGAAACATTTCTTATAAAAATAAACCACTTCATTCAAAAAGCATTTAGTTCTTAACTATCATGTTTTCTAAGATCCTACAAACTTCAATTTTTTTCCAGTACCTTGACAAACAAACAATAAAAAGTTCACCTTTCTGCTAAAATAAAACCGTCGAAAACAAGACAATTTCATTGCTTTTTTATGAATTTTCATGCACTAAATGTATTTCAAAACTTCCATAAGAATTCATGAGACTTCATTAGACTTCAAAAGACTTCAAGAGACTTCAAGAGACTTCATAAGACTTCATGAGACTTCATTAGAATTCAAGAGACTTCAAGAGACTTCAAGAGACTTCATGAGACTTCATGAGACTTCATTAGACTTCATGAGACTTCATTAGACTTCATGAGACTTTATTAGACTTCATGAGACTTCGTGAGACTTCATGAGACTTCATAAGACTTCATAAGACTTCAGAAGACTTTATGAGACTTCAGAAGACTTTATGAGACTTCAGAGACTTCAAGAGACTTTATGAGAATTCATGAGAATTCATAAGACTTCAAAGAGACTTCAGAAGACTTCGAAAGACTTTCAAGATTTCATGGGACCTCACGACTGAAGTCTCTGCTGTTTCCCCCTTGGGCTACGTCGTTCGACTACCACTTTGAGAAAAAAAGAAACAGATTTTTGAATTTTTTCAAAAGCCGCTGGTTTTTTGGATAGGGATTGTCAGAAATCTTGAACATTTTTCGGAAAAAAGGAGGTGTCAAAGAAAAATGTTTACCGTTTATGAAAGAGCAAATGATAGGCTATCTTCCTATGTATTTATCTCAATTTCCATGATTCTGACGAAAAGTGACTTTTTTGAGGGGGGGGGGGGGGGGGGGCTTAAGAGAGAACAGTTATTTTCGATAAAGTATTTTCTCGAATAATTGGTTGTCTTCTCTTTCATCATTGTAAAATAGGACAACTGATGATGAAAGAAAAAAAAACGCCAAGAAATGTTCTTTTTGCTTCGTCTTAGTTGAGTATAATTCATTGCTATAGATCATGCCATCAAGACTTTTGATTTCTTTCTGTTCGGAAAACATTTGCTTCGAATATATCTGCATATAGTCAAAATTGCTGTAATCATTTGCACAATTTCTTTTCGTGAATTCTACCGCTTACTATTGTGTGATCGAGCAAACAATTTCAATACAAGTTACTCTATTGTTCGATTTACTTTTCTTCATGTGCAACTTTCATAATTGTAAAATGAAAGTTACTGCTCTGTGCCAGTCGATAGAGATTATTAATTTTTTTCACGATGAAATCGAGAAAAAATGCAGAGTGTGAGTGTGTAGTTGTTCAGAGAAATCACCCACACTCCTGTTCTATAGTATTCTACGTTTTTTTATAGTGACATGCATTATTGAAGCGGTATCTACGTACGATTTATTCAAAAAAAGAAAAAGAAAATGTTATTAAGTTTATGGATACTGTTCTTGAGTTGCATTTATCCCGTAGTTTGTGTCATTGTGCCAGTATTTGTATCAAATGACAGTATCAATGTTGGAGAAGTCGTTGCTGATGTCCCAACAGGCACCGCATTCGCTTGATTGACACTATAAGTTATACTGGATCCACTGCCTGAACCTAAAGTTTAAACAATACTCATCATACAATAATCAATCGTCAATCACCGCGAAGGAAAACTCACTTTGAACACCAATCGTGGCTGAAACACCTCCATCCAAAGCCTGGAAATACAAATAGTCAACAACGTCCGATAGATTCTCATAGAAAACAATTTGGAAGTGGTAATATTGAGTTGATTGACTGTAATGGCTTTCATAAAACTCAAAGACTAAGCTTCGATTCGGTGCTGTGCCTGTCGTACCGTAATAGACACTTTGAGAAGTG